CCTCCTCCTCCTCCTCCTGATCCTCCTCCTCCTCCTCCTCCTGCTCCTCCGTTTTGGATCTACCGGCCTATCCTGCACAGACGGAGCCAACACGAACAAACATGAAGAGTGCATCGGCCACTGGACCACCCACCTGAAACGGTACACCCTCCCCGTGGGAATCGGCAGGGCGATCCCGCAAGACGTGTGCCCGCCACCTTGTGACAACACACAAGTTGCACTGGTGTGTCCCCAACATAACCAAACAGCGGCACCAGCAACGCCAGTACAAGCACCGACCACACCAACAGCAACAGCAGCAAAGCACCGACAGCACCGACTCCAGCTCCGACCACCGACACCAACCAACGACCAGCAGCGCCACCAGCACCAAACGCCACCGAACACCAGCATCGACCACCACGAACCAACACTGACCACCAGCACGTGGCACCGACCAACAACACTGACAGAACACAGGAATCGACCACCAGCACTGACCACAAACAAACACCACCGACCACAAGCACAATCCTGAACTCCGTCTTCCCTGTCTTCTATTTGCGCCGGCTCGTGTACTACTTCGTCCACATATTCTATTTGTGCTGGTTGCTGTCCTATTCCGACCACGCGCTCTATTTGTTCCGGTTCGTGAACTATGTCATCCAGTGTTTCAGCACCCACGCAGTCTGAGGCTAGGGCCTCTCGCGCCTTGCCCAAAGGGCACGGGCACCCCCGGTGCCCGGAACCGGCGCCTCCGCTCCGCTCCTCCGCTCCGCTCCGCTCCTCCTGCTCCTGCTCCTGCTCCTGCTCCTGCTCCTGCTCCTCCTCCTCCTCCTCCTCCCCGTAGCCATTTTGGCTCAAGATGGCGACCTGGGGGGCTGTCCAGCCTCCAGGCCGAAGGGAGACCTCTGGACCGAGGACAGTTCCCAGACGGGCGTCGGGCGCGCGCGCGGCACTGCAGCAGCCATGGGGAGTGGCAGCGGCGGACGCGGGGCGGGCAGCGCCTGGTCGGGGACCCCGAATCGCCAGAGAGTGCCCCCGTGGAAGAGGAGCAGCAGTGGCAGTCGCCCTCCTCGCAGCAGCTACGTGGTGTGTGACGGGTGCAGCAGATGGCGCTACTGCAAGAACATCACCAGCAGGGGCGACCTCTGCATCTGCGGCAAGAATCTCGCCTGCCTCGTCCCTGACGGACACGTCTTCCGTGACGAGGATGGTGGGTGGGTGGCAGCACAGCCCCAAGGAGGAACCTCGCCCAGGATCAGCTGGGCAGATGGTTGGCAGCCAGGAGGTGGTGCAGGCGGGAAAGGGCAAGGAGGCCAACGCCAGCCACCACCTCACGACAAGACCGCCGATCTCAAGGCCCCAGCTGCAGCAGCATACGGCAAGCTCAGCAAGGACGACCCGCTCAAGCAGCACTACGAGGCCCTCTGGCCAGAGCTCGCCGCAGCCAAGCCACCAGCAGATCAACCAGTCGTTGGATTCAAGGCAGTGGAGGCAGCAGCTCGACGCTTGGACAAACTCCAGAAGAAGGTACGATCGGCAGGGGAGCAAGTGGAGAGTGCCCAGCAGTACTTGGCTGAGAGTGAACGCAAGCTTCGTGAAGCTATGGAAGCATCCATTGCAGCAGAAGATGAGTTCGACAAGCTCAAGGCCACAGTCGGCAAGCAAGAGGTACCAGCCGAACCCGCAGCCGAGAAGCCAACGCTGGCAGCCCTCCTGGAGCAGTTCGAGCACGAGCCTGACGACTTCCACAAGTGGTCCGAGCCAGACAAGGAGGTCTGGCGAGCTGCAAAGGCCAAGGGTGAGCGCATGGCCCAGACGGTCAAGGAGCACGAGGAGGAGACGGCGAAGCACCTGCGACTTCTGGAGGAAGAGACGGCCAGGCACCAGGAGCAGCTGCGCCAGCTCGAGCAGGCCCGCACCAAGCGCCTGTCAAAGAGCGGATAGCAAGACCCAGAAGCAGCAGATGCCCCACCAGGCAAGCGTGTCTGCGCTGCCGGCCCAGCCCCTCAGCGAGGAGCCACCGCAGGCGCTGAGGCAGCAGGGTCAGCTGCTGCGGCTGCGCCTAACGGCGCCGCGGCAGCTGCCCAACCAGAAGCAGGTGCAGCAGAACATGACAAAGCAGAGGAACGCCGAGCTAGAGTGGAGGCCCACATCCAGGAGGCGCGAGAGAAGGTCTCGCAGGCCAGGCGCGCCGAGACAGTCGTCGACGCAGAAGGGCAAGGTGACCACTCAGCAGGGTAGCCGCCCCAAGGCGAGCACGAAGAAGGCTCGCCGCCCTTGCCACATCGACTTCTTCAATGTCACGACCTGGGCCCCCCAGGCACAGGGCTACCTCGTGGAGATCAACGACACCACGGACAGGGACATCATCGGCATCGCGGAGCACCACCTCCGCCAGCCTGCGCAGATAGGCAAGGCAAGAGCGGCGCTCAGGAGGAAAGGCCTGCACAGCTACTGGACCAAGGCACGGCCAGGAGAAGGAAAAGGCACTCGTGGAGGAACGTGTGCCATAACGCGAGGATCCTTGGACGTCCAGGACAGGATCGCGGGCTTCGACGAGCACTACCTGCACGAGGACGGCAGCGACGTCACGGTGGTGATCTCCAACCTGCACAAGGTCCGCTTCGCAGTGGCCTTCGTCTACCTCGAGTGTGGGACGGGCTTCGGAGAGAGGAACGTCGACATCCTCTGCGACCTGCGGGAAAAGATGGCCGTCTGGGGAGGGCCATGGGCAGCGCTTGGGGATTTCAACATGACGCCGTCGGAGCTCAACAACAGCATCTGGCCCAGGGTGCTGAATGCTCAAGTAGCAGCGGCGGAGGATGGCGCCCCCGCGTGCTTCCCAGCAGGAGGCGCAGCCAGGTGCATCGATTTCGCGCTGATCTCGCAGGGCCCGGCGCCGTATTTTGACCAGCTAGAACTGCTCAGGACCGTGCCGTGGAAGCCGCACATTGGCATCCGCTTGAAGCTGAGAGGGCGGCCTCTAAAGCTCAAGGGCAGGGTACTTCGCAGGCCAGCAGCCATAATGCCACCAGTCGCAGTTGAGAGAATGCCGAAGTCCAGAGCCGCTTGCAGGCGAGCGGCGCGAGGAGGCCAGGAGGCCATGCGCCGACGTCAGCAAGCGTTGGTAGAGGCAGGATGCGACCAGGAAGGAAACGACATGGAGCCAGTGCCGCAGCTGTACTACGACAAGGAGGTCCAGCACGTCATCCCTGACGAGCTGTGGCAGGCCACCTCCGAGAGGGTCAGCTTGCGTGTCTACGACGAGTTGCCCCAGCACTTGCAGCGCACTGTCGTCGGCAAGATGATGGAGCGGGACATGCTGGATCTGGGGCAACAGTACGACCACTTCGCTAGCGCACTCGAGCTCAGCCTGCGCGAGAGCATCGGCATCCCAGAGGAAGATCGAGGACGTCATCTCGGGCACAGCAGGCCCCCGAGCTACAAGAGCGTGAGCATCAAGGACACCGTCACCTCTACGCCATGGGCAGGGGTTGAAAGGAAGATCCATGCGTGGTGGGCGGAGATCTCCTCCTTGGTGCGGCAGCTCTCGCACCACGACGCCCGAGCGCAGGAGGCAGCGGCAAGTCGACAGGGCAAGACCCAAGCACGTCCCGATGAGGACTCGGGAGGAGGACAGGGCCCGTTGGAGCTGGAGCGTGGCCCCGTCATTTCGGGCAGCCAGGAAGGCCACGAAGAAGGCGACCCTGCACCAGCCTTGAGCCCATCGAAGAGCTCGGGAGGAAGCTCGGTGGAACGCTCCCCCACCGAGCGGGGCAAGGGCTCCCCCGAGCTGCAGCAGCGGAGCGCAGGCAGTGGAGGCGCAGCAGGAGGCGCCCCAGACCTCCACGTGGGGCATACCCACAGCACCGCAGACAGCTACCCAGAAGGGATGCAGAGGGGTGCCCTTCCCCCACCAGCAGGGCGCAACACCATGGACATCCAAGATCACGACCCCTTCGAGGATGAGGAGGAGTACTTGGAGTACCGCCAGGAGATCGCAGACCAGGAAAACAGCGATGGGTACCACCAATACATCGAGGGGCAGCAGGCCAGCCTCGAGTCCAGCCAGACCGCTCGCCGTCGAGCAGCTGGACCTGTTTCTCACCCACCAGCAGGACGCAGCACCATGGACGACCAAGACCACGACCCCTTCGAGGAAGAGGAGGACCGCTTCCAGAACCGCCAGGAGACCGCAGACCAGGAGGACTGCGATGGGTACCACCAGCGTATCGAGGGGCAGCTGGATGGCAACGGCTACGGCCAGACCGCACGTCGTCAGGCAGCTGGATCTGGTGAAACCGGCCCAGGTGACACGCACTGCTCACCTCCTCAGCTAGCTGGCACTCTGGAGGCAGAGGGTACCGATCACCTGAGGAGTCAGAACCAAGCGCCGCCAAGCCCAGAGGCAGATGAGCAACGAGATATGGGCCTGCCCCCTACAGACCCCTGGAATGAAGACCAACACCAGCGGGAGCGGGAAGACTACGTGGCCATGAGAGACGACCTGGAGTACTGGGCGGCCATCTGGATGGATAACTTGGTGCAGCTCCCCACGGACAACAGCAACTGGATGCAGATCTGCGTGCCGTTCCTGGAGACCATCCTGGGAGGCGGAGGCAACAATGGCATGGTGAGACTGCTCAGACGTTGGTACCAGCAGGTTGGCCTCAGCCACATCATCAGGGACCTCTGCGAGCGAGCATGGAGACATGCAGAACCACGACGCCGAGGCTTTCTCCAAGGACTTGCGCGAGAGGTGCCGACGAGGAGGCACGAATTGGAAATGATGCACTGGAGGGAGCTCGCAAACCTGAGGAGGTTCACGCGAGAAGTCATAGGCGAAAGAGCACCAGAAGGAGCAGCGCGAAGACAACTACATGATGCTCCAGGTACAGGCAGTGGCCAGAGTGACCGCCGAGAGCAGCAGGTCTGCACCCACAGTGGCTGTCAGACGCAGCAGCAGATCAACACAAGACAGCAGCTAGCGCAGCAGCTCAACCAGCCTGACCCAGGCAGGCTGAACGATGAAGGTGCAGCCAAGGACCAGCAGCAGGCCCTCCTCGCAGACCTGCACGCCATAGCAGAGGGCGCCCTAGTGGACCCAGGGACGATCAACAGGGTAGCAGAGGAGGTAAAGAGCATGGCCAAGCTACTCACAAAGGCGGTGAAGAAGGCGTACATCCACTGGGTGCATGACGCCACGGCTGGCAGTGCGAAGATGGCCCACGCCTACACCAAAGCAGCAGAGCGCAGCCATCTGGAGGACATCCTAGAGCACGAGGGCCAGGTCATCAACCACCCGCAGCAGCTGGTGGACTTGCGCAAAGAAGCATGGCAACGCAGGTGGACACGAGATGCGCAGAAGGCCGAGAGGATCCAAGAGGCGCTGGCCAAGCTGAGGCAGGCTGCCCTGGCCCAAGAGAATGCCCTCGAGCCCATCAGCAAGGACATCATAGGCTCCATCATCCAGCACCTGAAGAGCAATGCAGGCCAAGGAGCGGACTGGTGGAGGGCTCCAGAGCTCAAGGCCATGGGAGCCCAGGGGCTGGAAGATTTCGTGCAGTGCCTGACCAGCTGTGAGCAACGGGCAGCCTGGCCGTGGCAATTCTACCTGGTGCTGGAGCTGCTGCTGGGTAAGAAGCCAGGGATCGGGGGAGAGCGCCCCATCGGCCTCATGCCCATGCCGTACCGTATCTGGAGCGCAGCCAGGAGGCCCATAGTAGCCACCTGGAGCAAGGCAGCGGCGGGCTTCTGGGATACGGCAGTAGCTGGCTCCTCAGCGCTACGAGTGGCAATGCACAGACTTATGAGGGCAGAAGCCGCCACGGAGATGGGCTTCCATGCAGCAGGAGTGTTCTACGACGCGGCAAACTTCTACGACAACATAGGCCTCGACCAGCTGATCGAGAAGGCCAGTGCCCTCCAGTACCCTTTGCTGCCGCTGGCAATGGCCGTGCAGATGTACCTTGCGCCCAGGGCCATCATGGCCCACAGCCTCTTCTCGGACATCTTTGAGCCTGCCAACAGCAGGGTAGCAGGCTGTGGCCAAGCGGTAGACCTCACCAGACCGCTCTTGTATGGTATCCTGGATGCAGCGCACAGGCACCATATCTTCGTCGTCATGCAGCAGTACCTGGACGACTTGGCCCTGCAGGTAGAGGGCGCGCGGCGGCAGGTCATTGACCAGATCAAGCATGTGGCGGCGCTGGTGCACGATGGTTTCAAGCAGCTCGCGATCCCCATCTCAGTCAAGACGGCAGTGGTGGCCTCGGACAAGGACCTCCAGGCAGAAGTCGCCAGCATCCTGGACAGCCTGGGCACCCCCAACAAGCAACCAGGGGTAGTGCGCGACCTCGGCGTGGACACCAGCCTTGGGAAGCAACTGCGGCGACCCACCCATGCCGCGCGCCAGGCCAAGGCCAAGCAGAGGGTGGCCAAGCTCAGGGACCTGGCGAAGACGGACGCCAGAGGCGCGGCAAAGGTCTATGCAGCAGGTGCCTACTGCCAGCAGGCTTGGGACTTACCAGCGCACGGCATCACACCCACGGAGGCGAAGTTGGTCAGGGCAACGGAGGCAGCGCTCCTCACAGGCGGACACAAGGCTGGACGCTGCACGTCCACCATCCTCCTGACCCAGAGGGGTATGCAAGAGGCAGTAACCCGAGCCATCGGCGACCAGATCAAGCAGTTCTGGCTCACCGTAGTCGACCACCCGACGGAGCTCAAGAGGTACCAGAGGGGCTGGCTCCTGCTCTACGCCAAGCTGGGCGCCCTGGAACCCAACCGCAGGTGGCAGCAGGTCAAGGGGCCCATGGCAGGGGTCATTGTGCAGTTGCTTGGGTTAGGCTGGATACCGCGACGCCTGGACAGCTGGATCAGCCCAGCAGGTGACGAGTGGGCCTACAAGCCAGATGACATTCCCCACTTCGGCGCGTTCCTGCATGAGGTCCAGCAGAGCGCGCAGCGGCAGCTCTGGCAGCAGGCAGCTGGTCATCGCAGTGGAGAAGGACTTCAGGCTGTAGGCGACCTCTATCAGCTGCAGCGCCACCTGAGAAGAAGGAGGCGTAAAGGACAGCATGCAGAGGCAGCAATGCTGGAGACCATAGCGGTGGCAGGCATCTGGACCAGGGAGCGTCGCAGGGCGGCCAACCTCGACCAAGAAGGCGATGACACCTGCGCGAGATGCGGCGAGGCGATAGAGACAGAGGAACACCGCTACTACGCCTGCCCTGCCAACGCAGAAATAGGGCACAGCAATGACACCGACCTGGCGAAGAAGGCGAAGGACGCGCTGGACCAGCGGCAGGACCTGCACTTCTGGCTCCGAGGCATCCCGCCAGCGGCCTGGGCAGCCAAGGTCGACCCAGACGAGGACGCGGCGAAGGCGGCGCAGATCTTCTGCACCAGTGAAGAGGCACAAGCTGCAGCCCAGTCAGGGCACAAGGTGCGAGCAGGCTATGTGTTTTACGGACGGCTCAGGTGGTGCAGGGGAAACGGCCAGGGACCCCCGCCTCAGACGCTGCGGCTGGGCAGTGGTGGCATTCAGGTTCGACGAACTAGGTCGTCCGCAGGAAGTGGCTGCCTGGTACGGCACAATCAGGGCACCGCACACGGTGCCACGGGCAGAGCTCACCGCCATGAGCAAAGCCATCGGCTACACCACGGCGGCGACAGCCAGGGGGCTAAACATAGTCAGCGATTGCAAATACGCCCTGGACGCACTCAAGCAGATCCAGGACCCTGAGGATCTGGACTACAGGAGCGCGAACTACGACCTCTGGCTCCAGACGAAGCAGCAGCTACAGAACAGCACGGACACCATCATGGGCCACCACATCCCGAGCCACCTTATTGAGCACCCAACAGAGCTGGAGAGGTGGAATGGCCCCACCTGGTGGGTCATAGGTAACGAGATGGCGGATAAGTGCGCAGGCTGGGGGGCGGAGCACGGAGCACTGGATCCAGCTATCATCGTGCAGCAGCAGATCAGAGACCAGATCACCATGGCGGTGCAGACCAGGCTGCTGGCCATCAACATGGCGGTGATGGTGGAGGACCCCAACAAGGCCCCTCAGCGTCCCAAGGCCAAGCGGCGAAAGCCGCAGACGGCGAGGGACAGGGCAGCCCAGCAGGGACACGACCTGCGAAAACTACATCCGCGATGGTGGTGTGCAACGTGCCGCAGTGGCCCAGCCAAAGGACAAAGCATCAGAGACTGGTTGGCAGAGACAGGAAAATGCCTCGGGAAGTACGGCGGCCACCAGGACCAGCACGGCAACGTCAGGCTCGACTTCAAGGCGGTGCAGATCGGCACGCAGGTGGTGCACGGCTCCCACAAGACGCAGTACACCCATGGCTGGCTCTGGTGCGAGAATTGTGGCGGCACTAGCTACCTTGGGGACCACAAGAGCAGGATCGTGGCAGGAGTGGCAAGGAAGCTGGCAAGGCCATGTCAGCCCCCAACAGCAGCAGGGAGGCGAGTCATGGAGAATATGCAGAGGGGCAAGCTGCCTAGAGGAGCTAAGCCAGCAGCAGACCCAGCTGATGAGGGTCTCGACGAGATCACCATGCCAGGTGGCTTCAAGCTCGGCCTGAGCAGCCACGAGGTGATCGATCTGGACGGGGACAGCTCAGAGGCAGGGGACCCGCAGCCAGCTCCGCAGCAGCCGCCCAGCCACCCGTACTCTGTCGTCCACGCCAGCTTGAGGCTCGTCGACCACATGGAGGGCTACGCAGAGCTGTGGATGAACATGGTCGACCAAGAGGTCTGGGACGACATGGACGACTGGATGGAGCACTGCGTACCGTACCTCTTGGCCATCACCAATGTGGGTGGCAGAACGGACACGCAAGAGCAGACCAGGGCCGTCACCGTGCAGGAGATCCAGCAGATAAAGGACTTCTGCGAAGAAGTCTGGCGCAACACGCACCGCGCGCGACGGAGGCTCATGACCAGGATGCTTACCCTCCCGCATGGCACATGGCAGCAGGCAGCTAGAGTGCACATGGACGCCTTCCACAACAGAAGGAACAACATCATAGCGCACAGCATCCCCAGCAGTGAGCGCAGGCCGCTGCCGAGAACAGCGGAGGCCAGCCGAGAGTGGTCACCAGAGAACCTGGACGATGATGACTCGACCCCAGACAGTGAAGCCCCAGAGCTGGAGGGTGAGCCGAGCAGCCAGGAGATGGAGACCATGGCGGGACCTGATCAGAGGCACGACGCCAACAGCCTGATGCAGACGGCAGTGCAGGTGGCAGTAACGCTGACCAAGCCAGTGGGGCCCGACCTGATGAAGTTCGTGAGCGAAGCTGACGAGGCCGGCTTGCTCCACCCAAGGCTTCGACACAACAAAGGAGAAGCCGACCAGGACCCCGAGCAGGAGGTGGCGTGGCTCGAGAGGAACAGGCTCGAGCAGCTCATGCAGTCGCTGGCAGGCTGTTGGAGCCAGAAAGAGGGCGAGCTGGGCTGGCCATCGTGGCAGGCCGCGTGCGTGCCCCATGTGATGAGGGCGCTGCAGACTGGAGTCTATCAGAGGCTTTTCAGCCACGTGTCAGGGACGAGCCGCCAGCGCAGCCAGCGCCGAGCGGCGGAGGAGATCTGCCGCCTGGCATGGCTCAACAGCGGAGAGGAGCGCAGACAGATCCAGCAGCAGGACCCGAAGGAGGCAGAGCGGCGCAGAGCAACGGCTGAGCAGATCCTGGGCGTGACTGAGCCAGAAGTGAGGAGCCGCAGCCCGCGACCACAAGCAGCAGGGCGAGAACCAAGCAGGGCTCCAGCCACACAGCCGAGGAGGCCCCTGTGCGGAGAGGGGACAGGCCACCAAGGACCCCTGCGCGGCGAGGGGTTAGGCCGAGGAGGACCCCAGCGTGGCGAGGGGTTAGGCCACAGCCCTGCGCCAGACGGGATGCAGAGGGGTGCCCGTCCCCCACCAGCAGGACGCAGCACCAAGGACATGGCAGACCTCGACCACTTCCCTGAAGAGGAGAACAGAGAGGACAGCCCCCAGCAGGACGAAGACAAGCAGTGCAGCGATGACAACCACCAGCAGTTCCCAGATGCACAGCACAGCATAGGGTACCACCTGGCAGACCGCAGAGGACCCCAGCGTGGCGAGGGGTTAGGCCACGGAGGACCCCAGCGCGGTGAGGGGTTAGACCGCAGATCCAAAGACAAGCAGAGGATCGAGGCGGAGGTCCCTGACGAGCCCAGTGAGCATGACGCGGACGTCTTGACCAACAGTGTGGTAGACAGGACCTCGCAACTAACAGAGCGGACCCATACCCTGGGAAACCGACAGACTGAACGCGAGGGGGAGGGCTTGGCCCGCGGATACCACGTGAACCGCGAACACAGCGAGAGGCACAGTCGGGGGACCTCGCCTCAGCCAGTGTGCAGCAGCACCGAGGATGGGGACAGTACGAGACTCGGCGATCCCCCGCGTGGCGAGGGGTTAGGCCACAAAACAGCGCAGCCTGAGAAGGCGGCAGACTACGACGATACAGACCTGCAGCGGGACTTGAATAAGATCGTCGGCGACCCACCCAAGCGGTGAGGGGGTAGACCGCAAGGCACCCCTGCGTGGCGAGGGGTTAGGCCACGGAAATCCCCTGCGCGATGAAGGGGCAGGCCGCAGGACCAAAGGCAAGCAGAGGCTTGAGGCGGAAGCCTATGACGTGCCCAATGAGCAAAACGCGGACCTTTTGACCAACAGTGTGGTAGACAGGACCTCGCAACTAACAGAGCGGACCCAAACCCTGGGAAACCGACAGTCTGAACGCGAGGGGGAGGGCACGGCCCGCGGATACCACGTGAACCGCGAACACAGTGAGTTGCAAAGTCGCGGGACCCCGCCCGAGCCAGGGGGCAGCATCACCGAGGATGGGGACAGTGCAAGACGCGGCGTACCCCCGCGCGGTGAGGGGTTAGACCGCAGCAGGCCCCAGCGCGGCGAGGGGTTAGGCCACGGAGTACCCCAGCGCGGTGAGGGGTTAGACCGCAACGATCCCCAGCGTGGCGAGGGGTTAGGCCACGGAGGACCCCACAGTGGAGAGGGGACAGACAGCAGCAGGCCCCCGCGTGGCGAGGGGTTAGGCCACAAGGGACCCCAGCGCGGTGAGGGGTTAGACCGCAACAGGCCCCTGCGTGGCGAGGGGTTAGGCCACGAAGCACCCCAGCGCGGTGAGGGGTTAGACCGCAGCAGCCCCCAGCGTGGCGAGGGGTTAGGCCACGGCATTCCCCAGCGCGGTGAGGGGTTAGACCGCATTGACCCCCAGTGTGGCGAGGGGTCAAGCCACGATGGGCCCCAGCGCGGTGAGGGGTTAGACCGCAACAGACCCCAGCGTGGCGAGGGGTTAGGCCACCACGGAGCACCCCAGCGCGGTGAGGGGTTAGACCGCAACAGGCCCCTGCGTGGCGAGGGGTTAGGCCACGGAGCGCCCCAGCGCGGTGAGGGGTTAGACCGCAGCAGCCCCCAGCGTGGCGAGGGGTTAGGCCACGAGTATCCCCAGCGCGGTGAGGGGTTAGACCGCACCGACCCCCAGCGCGGCGAGGGGTTAGGCCACGGAGGACCCCTGCGCGGCGAGGGGTTAGGCCGCAACGCGCCCCAGCGTGGCGAGGGGTTAGGCCACAGCTCTGCGCCAGGCAGGGCGATCGAGAAGGCCCATGAGTCCAGGGACCAGCAGCCTGGGCGGTCCCTGGAGGAGCGCAGAGCGGAGGAGCGGCTGCGGCCGTCCATCAGGCTGCTCCTCAAGCTCTGAGTGGGCAGCGGCAGCATTTCTTCAGACTGCCGCTGCTCTCGGGGCGACTCCATGAGTCACAGAGTGGCGGCAGTAAGACGCCGTGAGATGAGGCCGCTGGCCCACCCCGCCTCGGGCCTTTTCGGCCCGCGCGGAGTGACGAGACCAGGGGCACCCACTCGCGGGCGGGAACACGCGGGTTTAAAAACTCCTCCTCCTCCTCCTCCTCCTCCTCCTCCTCCTCCTCCTCCTCCCCTATCAAGCCGTCACCACCGTGCATGTTTACGTAATGATTCACGGAGCTTTGCAAGGGGACGCATTGTAACCTCACTCGATATTTGTGGGCAGAATTTGGGGCCTGAATGTTGGCCTCGCTCACGGGGCAACCCTGCACTTGTTGGAGGCGGTCGCGCTTTATGTTGCGTAGGCCAGGTTTCGCGCGTTGGCTCGTCTATTGCAGGTTTACCTTCGCGGGAGTCTGGGCTTGCCTCGTGTTTTTCGCCAGCGCACCAAGCTCTTGACGCACATTGGTGGTCATCATTGCTGTTTTTTGATTGAAAAAGTTTAGCCACCTGCCCTGGCTGAGTTGCTCGTGGCTTCTGAGCCCTTCGCAGGGCACCCTCAAAAGCTTGTCAGACCTCTTGCCCGTCCAGATTGCCCCACTGCCCAGGCAGAAAGCAATGTTCGCTACGAGCCGTTGCGCCACGCCACAGCGCAGCACGGCGTGTCTGTTGATGCACGGTGCCCGCGCGTGCAGCTCGCCCCAGTTGTGGTTAAAGCTGAGCGGCGACCCATGTCTCGCTGTGGGCGCTGTGGGGTTGCTGCGCAGCAGGGGGGCGCACTCGGCGCCGGCTATAAGTTGGCATGCGCCTCGTCCACAGCCGTTTCCTCTGCGCTTGGGCCATGGCCTCCCGCCTGTATGCCTCGCAGCACGTCCTCGTGATGCGGCCTTAGCTGGTCGCTTCCACGTCGGCCGGCGTGGAATGCGCTAGCGCCTTGTGCACCTTGAAGTCTTCGGCCATGAACGCCCCCCAGAAGAGTCCCAGCATGTGGGGCCTCGCCGCTGAGGCTTCAGGTCCAGCTCCAGGCCTAGTTGCGAGCACCCTCAGCGTGTTGGCGCAGTCGATGTAGAGCTCCATGGGGCCCATGGCGATACGCTGGAGCATGAAAGCGGAATAGTCGTCTGCGTCTGGCGCCGTCTGGCCTGGTGCCATATCCAGCGGCACGGTTCTGAAAGCCGCGGCCTGCAAAGCGCCAAAGTGGCCCACTTGCACGACCGCCCAACCTCCCCTCTCCAGCCCGACGAGGCTCCTGTCCGACGCTTTCCCGTCGAGGAACAACGCGCCACTGAGCCTCCCGAACAGGGGCAGTTGATCCAGCGCACCGCCTCACCCGGCTCCCGCCTGGGGAAGGGAACCCGCGGGTTGGGCAAGGGTCCGTGACAGAAACACGATGCCGCCTCCTGGCCCCGCGCTCGCATTCGCGCAGCCTTATCGCAAAGCTCCCACAGTGTGTGGTCTCGGCGCAGCGCGGCATGGGCGTCGCATTCGCAGTGGCGGTGGTACAGAGTGCCTTTGTCACGCCCGCAAGCGAGGGGGGCTGGCGATGCTAGGAGGCCGTGCGCGTGGAACCGCACCTACGTCCAGTGCGCACTCAACGCCGAAGCTCGCAGCGCTTCGTGCTGCCCTCCCCCCACCCCACCCCCACGCGGCCAATCGCTTCCCGAACAAGCGCCGCAACGGGGTCCAGAAAACACGTGCGCTCGGCCTCACCTGTGCTCTGCAGCGCCATTCGGTCCGAGGAGCGGACCGCACCCTTCCTGACTTCCTCCTGGATGCGCCGGGTCCCAAACGCTTCAGATCGTGCAGCACTTGTCCTTCTGACTCGAGCTGGAAAGGCTCATGCAGTCGCCATCCCAAACGACGCATGGTGTAAAAGCTGCCTCCGCAGGCGCCGACGCCGTCCTCCAAGGGTGCTGCGACCTGCTTGCTTTCGCCACCGCTGCAGCCAGCGTGACCTCCAGCACCCTGGGCTCCACAGCTCCCTGGTTTGTGGGCCAGAGGATTTGTTGACTCAGTTCGGCTGGTTGTGACGTGATGCGACCACAGCACACCAGAGGGTATATTAACAAAGCATGGCCGCGAGGATTGCTTGAGTGCAGACAAAAAAACATGCTGCTCACACACGCACGCAGTGACCACCCTCGGCAGCATGACGTCCATGCTGGATCACTGGCGGTCAAGCTCGCACCCAGCCGCATGACAACGGAGACACAGAGGCCCAGCGATGCAGCCGCCGCCGCTTACGCCCGCAAGCCCTGGAGCCTGCTACTCGCAATGCCCGTGGCCGCCGGCTGACCGGGTCCTGGCCTCCCTTTGCCCCTCTCGCCGTCCGCTCCCGTCCCCTACCCCCTCCCCTCCCCCTGCCCTCCTCCCCCTCCCCCTCTCCCTACATCTCCCCCATGGCGCGTTGGAGACCCAAGGCCACCCCTTGTAGGCGGAACCCCTGCTGTGCCAACCCTTCTCACCACTCCCTGCCTCTTCCGTTGCCAGCCGGGGCCCCACCCGCAGGCCTTAATGTTTGGGCGGCAAGTGGCAGCAGAGAAAGTACACCCCCAGAGACGAGAGGACAACTCTGCGATCCAGGGCTTCCAGAGTCGTCTGGATGGTAAAGTGATTCTCCTCAGAGCCCACCCCCACGGAAACAGGCCAATGTCCGATTGCACAGCAGGCCAGCTCCCCGCGCCCAGGAGCTGGTTGACTCGAAGGGCCAGGGGACCCAAGGCTTTCCCAAGGGAGTGGCCACGGCAAAGAGAAGGAGAAGGAGGAGGAGCTACAGCAGGAGGGGGAGGTGAGAGGGCGAGGGGGAGAAAGAAACGGGAGGAGGGTGTGCTTCCGCTGGCTGCCCCCCCTCCCCCCCAACCCTGGACTCAACTGCGGGCCGCCAGGCCCGCTCTCGGCCAGCATAAGTGGAAGGTGGCACGGACGCCCGCCCCCCACGGGCGCCAGTGCGATACCCGCCAGTCCGGCACCCCCGGAGGGGGGGAGGACTCAGCGGCGAGCAGAAGAGATGGGGGTGAGGGGGGGTTGCTCTTCTGGGAAGGCAGGGGGCCTCTTAGAATGGATCGGCCCTTTTGCGATCACGCGCCCCGCTCCTTCTGAGAGGCCTGGTGGGCGTTCTGAGAAGGCGGCCCCTTTGATCCGGCCCTTTCTTGCGCGGCGCCTACCCGCGAGGGCAGCGCGAAGCCCTGAAAGCCGCGGCTGTGCCGCCGCCAAACGCCGCGGTGGCCCCACACTTCCGCTCGGGAGCCCACGCCGCGGCAGAGGAGCGAGGAGGAAGAACAGCAGCAGCAGGCGGAGGAGGGAGGGAGGAGGAGGAAAAGGAGGATGATGATGATGAGGAGGTTCCAGGAGAAGGAGAAGAGGAGCGGGAGAATAGGAGAGGGGGGAATGGGGAGTAGGGGGAAGAAGCGACATTGAAAGGGAAGGAGGGGCAGCAATAGCAGCAGGCGGAGTATCCCATGCGACGCGTGCGACGTTGCGGGTGGGCCCACTGCGTGTCCTCCAGAAGGGGGCGTGGCCTCTTTTGCTCGACCGTGGCCCGCTCCCACGCGGAGGGGGTCTGCCGCCAGGGGTGCGCCCCTGTCGGATGGATTGGAGTCTGGGAGCGCCTCGCAAGAGGAGGTGGGCCTGGAGGGCCGGGAGCCTGGGATTGCGTCACCTCTCGTCGTTGGTTCGTTCAGGAGCTCTGATACTGCGTCGAGCACCCGCCCATTGTTGTTAAGATCTGGGCCTTCAAGCACTAGCAATTACGTGTT